GGGAGATGCCCAGGGCTGGGAGCTCTTGTGGCTGATTACCCACAGGTAGGTAAAATGGGATTTAGGGCCAATTGTGTTCAAAAAAAATGATACAAAGCAATCACAGTGTACCTGAGAAAATGCTTTGTGAAACCGCTGTCTGTGATTCTTTTGTTTTACGTTAGTTCAGACAAGACTCAAAGCACAACAAGAGGCTCAGAGGAGGCTAGGCTGCCCATGGGAGAAAAAAAAAAAAAAAAAAAACCCTTAAACTTCCTTTAGGAAGACAGCAGAGCTTGAGGAAAAGGGTAGAGTATAGCAGGAGGTACAGATGATAGCAGTAAATGTCACAGTTAATTACATTATGGGGAGGGGTGAAAATGAAGCCTTACTAGGAGGATGTAAGCTAAATTAAAAAATAAAAATAAAAAATGAGGGGAAAAGAAGGACAAGTCGAAGGAGAAAAGGGTGAAGAAAGCAACAGAGAAATTAATGTGGAGGTAGCATGTGAGGAAGTCAGTACCAGGAGTAGGAGGTCCTTAGTGTCACCAAATGGCTGAGGAGCTATAGCCAGCTGAGTCCTACAGGTTTTTTCCTCAGGTAAGATGCCCGGGATCAAGCCCCGCTGCAGCTGCTTGCTGCAGTGTGAGAAAATGGACAGGGATGTGCTGTGGGGGTGTTTTTATCACACAGCTCTAGGTCCGCAAGGGAGTTGGAGGACAAGGTGTGTGCAGCAATTTTTGTCACCAGTCTCTGGAAATGGGTTGTCACTAAAGAGAGGAAACTCTTATCCTCCTCATGGTTTACATGTTAATCCAGTGCTGAAATATTACTCTGCAGGTTTCACTGAAGTGGGGGAGGTTAGCAGAGAAAAAAACTAAATAACCCAAGGTATATTTGTAATAACAAACAATACCAGCTAGGTAATGCCTGACATCTGATTCAAACTACTAGCAAAGATTGGTGTGTTTTGTTCTGTTTTTTTTTTTTGTTTGTTTGTTTTTTGTTTTTTTTTTTTTTTTCCTGCTGGTTTTGACAATGTTATATTGCGTAATTGATGAAGCAGTTGAGTTTTGTTGTATTGCAGTAGTTTGGTGTAATTACTCTCCAACACCATGATTTTTCTTTTAGTTATATGTACCAGAAGATACTAAACTCTTAAGTATCAGCAGTAAATATTCACTGAGACTGACAATGTTAATTAGCATAAGAGCTTTTTTTTTTTTCAATACTTCTAGCTAGTGCTCTATGTTAACACCAGCAGAAAAGCCACCTGTGTTATGGCATAAGTAGAGCAAACCATTATATAGATGTCATTTCAAGCAACCGACAGTCCTGGACCTGGGTTCACAATAGCATAATGCATTGTGAATTCTGGGCTCCTCCACAAAGGGCAAGAATCAAAGGTTCCCCAATGCGAATGTGTTATAAAACAATATTGTGTTTCCCTTAAGAATTGCAGTGATAAAAACGTAGACCATTCTGCAGCACTAACAACTTTAATAAAATAACATAAAGCACAGCTGTCAGGTCTGCCAGCATCTCACACTGGGAGACATGAGTGAGAAAATGAACGCTTTTCACAAGCAGAAATATTCAAAGAGCTTCACTGTTTACAAGTAATCAAGACTGACAGTCATAGATTATTGGTGGAAGAGCATTTTCTGCTTGAGGTGAAAGAAGAGGATAATTTATCAAGAAGCCCAAGAAGTCAGACATCAGTAATGATCTGCTTGAAGAAGGGCTTCTCTTAGAAATAGTGCATTTATTTGTACTGTGAGGCAAGAAGATGTGCTAAGTTATTAAAAAAAAAAAAAAAGTCTTAGTGCTTGAAGAATGTTGAACCAGATACAGCGTGTGATTTGGGTAATGGCAATTAGAGAATTGACTAATGGGCATCTCAGCATTTGCCTAGAATATTACAAGAAAAAGTTAACACCATAATAAAAGTTTTCTAAAAGAAACATTCGTGTTCTTCCACCTTATCCTGTTCTTTCAGAGTTATTTGAGCTGTGCTAATCTTATTGCTTACCTTTTTGTTAGTTGCATTTTTGAGGTGTTCCTGTAATGCCACAATAGGTTTGCATTTGGTTTCAGAGAATTTGGGGCTCCCAGAGTTGCAGCAGAGCATCTTGTCTGTCTGTCATGGTTCTTTCGCATCACCTTTCCATTCTGTTTTTCTGTTCCATTATGTACCAGCAGTTTTTCAAATGGTAGCTAGCTTGGATCTCTGTGGAAAATGATTAGTAGACTGCAACTGCCCTGTGCAACACACCTTGGTTTGCTCCCTGACCTGCAGGGATGTAAGGCTGCCTGTAAGCAAACTCCACTCCCAGTGCCTCTGCTATGTCTTGCATGAATTGCTGCCCAGGTACCAAGAAATGTTGATTCCTTCCTGGGGTACAGCATGGATGGAAAGAATTTGATTCTGGCTGGATCATGAAGCTTATACTGGTGTAAAATACCATGGAGGTTCATTCCTTGCAGTTTAGCCTGTCCTGCCAGGCTCACCCAAATCTTACAGCTTTTTCTTTGTCACTTACTTCATCCAAATTTTTCTGTCTTTCACTTAGCATACAGTTTGTATATTTTAGTCCTTAATTGGCCAACTTTGGCCAAGATTACCAGAATACTGCTGAGGACAGGCTATGCTACCGCACTCTTCTGCACCACATCTGCAGGGATCTGGGCTTCAGGGCCCTTAAGTCTTCCATTACCCACCACAGAGCACTGGGAGCCTTACTGAAGGCATCGGGAGTGTTTTTGAGAGGATGTGGTTCAGTTTATCTCCACCTCTGTTCCAGTTTTCTAGTTAAATCTATGCAAAATGACTCAGAAAATCATGTCAGGGAGATGGATAAGATCTCTGGATAAGATTTTATTGCTTTTTTTGGTTGTTTTTTATTTTTTTCAGTTTGCAGTAGTAGAATGGTCCTACAGAAACTATTACAGACTCCATCTAGTCTGTGTTTGAATATCTCTGAGTAGGGATGTGAGTTCAAGCTCTCCAGCTTTTCTCTCTGACTGGAGAGGAAATAGGGAAATCAGTTTGTTTTTTTAGTTTAAATTAGTTACTTAAAAATTAGTTGGCTCTCACCTGGATTGTACAGAAATGGGATGGTGAGGAAGAACAGCAGTCAAAGCACATCCCTAAAAAGTATTTCTTGCAGGTTAAGCAAGGAGATCTAGAGGAACAGGGGCTGCCCTCCCTTGCCTTCTAGCACTTTCTGTATCTCATGCTGATGCCAGGTTGAATGAGCGAGATATTGCTTTTTTAGAAAATCATCTCACCCCTCTGACAGATGATTGATTTACCACCACTTGGCTCATCCTAGTGCATCATCTTGTGAAGTGTGAGCATTTACAGTCCGTGGAAAGTATAAGGTGATGTGTGCTGCTTCCCATAACTCTCTCTCATTGCCAGTTGAGCTGTGGTACCTATATGCCATGCAGGTGTGTACAGTGGCACAGAGGGTGGATGTTGGCCATGTATACAGTGTACCTGTTCGTGGTTCATAAATCTTTCTCCATAATTCTATAGCATTATTACAAGATGGATTTATGACATACCTAGAGCTAATGTAACGATGAAGATTAGTTCTATACTAGTCAAACAGTAATACACTTTAATTTGCCTACAGCTATTGTATCATATTGGCATGAAAGGAAATAGCTTTCTAATGCAGCTTCATCTGCTGAGCAGAAAGAAATCTGTTGCAGAGTGTAAAACTGCACAGAGCTATAGCTGGCAGCAAAATTTAGAGTAGGAGAAACAGCACAAATAAAAGTATTTGTGAGTTGGATATATGCTAACAATCCTAGTTTATTGCTAAACATGCCATATACAGTAATGAAGTTTGCTTGGCAGGTACAATGTTGTTTCATCTCTGTTTTTAACTGCTTCATCTTCTGTACTAAAACTTTTCCAGGAATAAAAGGTGTAAATTCATTTAGCTTCCAACTTTTTTTTTGTGACATTAACAAAGAGTAGATGTTATGTTCTTCAGAAGTACTGACACTGTTAATTCAATCTGTACTTGTCTCTCTACCTAGAGACACACTGGAATTCTTGATACTTCAGCAATTAATGCAAACGTTTCTGCTGCCTGTTGTTAATGTAGTCTTCCCTTGATGAGTTGCAGGGATTCCTTCAATACACATGTGTACAAATAGACACTCAAGTGACACAACTTTATATTTGCCATAAAATAGGACTCTCCCTTCTAGAGAAGCAAAGGATGTGTTTGAAATTTTCAGGTCTCAAATAATACCACTTAATACTTCATATGGGATAGATCTTATTTTTGTTGGCATATTATGCAAGGTAGATTCAAAAATTAAGTGTTTCATATACTTCTGATCCTTTTCCCCACTAAATCACTGGTGAAATTGTGCTTAAAAGAAGTTTTCTTTCAAGAGTACGGACGTATCTCACATTCAACAAGGGCAAGGAAGAACTAATAACTTGCATGCAGGGAGGGAATGTATCTCTTCTGAAAACTGCTGGTATAAACTGCTGATGGGAAACAGCTGCAACAGGGCCTTGTTATCACAATAGGTCTTTGATGAGAAAGCTGGCCCCATGGGAAGAGGAAAAAAGAGAACATTTTACATGAATTACTGGCAAGGTGTCCAGGCGGCTTCTGCCTAGACCACTCCACTGATGTAATGGCCACTTCAAACTACTAGAGCATTTGTCATCATGTTACCTACCAGCTTTGCATCAAAGACTCCCAAGGTATCTGACCATCAGCTCACAAAGGTGAACTTTGTCACTGCCTGTTATTCACCCTTGTACCTTGCATTTTCTTCATGAATCCATCAGAGACAGTTAACTAATCCTACTGTTGTCTTCACTCTAAACCAGTAACCTTTACCCTTCATCTTTCTACCACTGGGTCCCTCCATCCCACAAATACATGGGATATCTTGATTACTTGGAGAGGCAGGTCTTGATTTTGACAATAAAATTAGAGAAAGAAAAAAAAAATACCAACTTTTTTTTTCTTCCTTCCTTAAAGTTGCAACAACATGACAAAGAGGATTCCCCTGACAAATGGAGAACAGAGGAAGAAATGGCAGCTGAAGCAGCAATTCTGAAGAAGTATTTCCAAGAAAATTAGAGGTAATGGTTTGCGCATTAAGTTATTCCTGCAACGCTCAGAACTCTTGGGTGGTCCATAGGCTTCTTAAGGACACGTGAGAATATGTAGAATGGAACAAAAAAATAGAGCTTTTTAGGTTTGTGTTTTTTCCTAAAAGGACACAACACTCCAACAGTGGCTGAAATAATATCCTCCTTCTCGAACAAATAAGTACCATCTTAAAGCTTTTAGTTCCCAGAGAGTGAAAAATAACACACCTGGAAATCAGAATCATCTGAAGTTACTTCAGAGGAATGCCTGTCCTAACATATCCTCCTTGTGTTTTTAGAACAGGAAATAGCCATGGCACAACAAGTTAAACTGCTGTGTACAGCCAAACATACATGTGTACTTGTATGTATAAAATCCCAGCAGAATACAGACTATAGAGTGGAATAAGCAAACGCTAACTTCTTCCTGCAAATCTTAAATAATCTGGTCAATTCAATTTCAAAATTAAGCCTACTGGAAAGCAGCTTGTTCTGCTAGATTTTCCCATGGCCCCAGAAGAAGGAAAAAAAATAAATAGGGTAGAACAGAAAAGAGGGAAACGCATGGCAGGTGTTAACATTGGTGCAGTAGAAACTGAGAGGTTTTCATTTTGTACCTGAAGTCCCAGAAGCCAGATTCTTCCAATAGAAACAAACTGGCCCCCAGAGATTGATGTGAGTTACGCTGGGATGTATGCTGCAGCGATGATGCCAAAAGCTCCCTCTCCCCTGTTCCCCATATGTTGTTTGCCATCATCTAGCACTCTCATTTCTGTAATTTCTGTTTCATATTTTTTTCCTCTGAAGAACCCAAATCCCATAAATATCCCTCCTAATCTGCCTGTGACTCATTGCTCACAGCCCAGCTTGACAAATCTTGAGCTAAACTACATGACACATGTGGTGTGTGTGCATCACAGCTCTGTCTCCTGTGCCATTCTGTCCTCAACATTTGGGCTGGTTTATTGGACTCTTCTTTCCATTTTTTTCTTGCGCGATGAGCATACTTTGCAGCAAAAACACCAGCTTCTCCAGACAAATTAGCTGTGCCAATACCTCTGCAGACTGGCACAGAGAAAGATGTGAAACGCATGTAATTCACATGGGTGGAGGAAGATTGTCCTTGGCTTCTGGGACTGATCCTGTTGGGGACCTAAGAATATAAAGGTTTGGGTTACACAGCCAAGTTTTCACAGTGACTACTGGATTTGCTTGTAGATACCCAGTTTTTCCATATCTCAGAAATGTGCAACTCAGCCAGAAATACCATATCTTTAGGTAAGACACATGTGAGCACTCTTCTCTACTAACAGGCATTATGTAGTGCTTCATCTATGCCACAGCGGTGAATGAATAGTACTTGCAATAAAACGCCCTATCCCTATTCCAATGTGGTGATGTTCGTAATTATATATTTGGTAGGTCTGGGATTATTTTTTTTGTCTGATTAGAAATGAATCTGAAGTACATTTGCAGAGAGATTCGTTGGAATTGGGTTCCCACATATCAATAAGGTGTTCTTAGGCTCTTTTGATACTATACACAAAGCTGGATAGATGAAATTGGCTTGCAGAAATGAATTTATACATGTGGCTGGACTTTTATTTCCATTTACTATGAAAATAAATCAGTGTGTCTCTATATGGATGACCTCTTGATAAGTTCTCCATGATATTAAGGTCATTACCTCTCCTAGAACAGGCTGGTAAATTAAATCTCAGCAGCATCATTATCATGAGAGTGTTTTTGTCTAGTACAAGCAGTCCTTCCAATCCTTGGTTTCCAATGCAAGGCATCACTGCCAATCTCTTCTTCCTGACGTTTTGTTTCTGAGGCTTAAGGCTCTGAACGTATATCTGAGCATCTTCTGAATTTCTCAGCCTTTACCTACTCTCTTAACCTTGCTTCTAAAATGATGAAGATTGAAAACTCTTGGCAAATTAACAAGGTTATATGCATTCTCCCTGAAAGCTATTTCTTCCTTTTTTTCACCTACAAAGGATTTATTTTGTCATTTATAAGTTTACCTGGACACTATTTGACTTGAGTTTTTTCATGCAGCACAGAGAGAGTCAGAAAGAGCTGAATGTGAGTGTTCTGCAGCCAATAAATGGCAATTTTAAGGCCTCATGCATTATTTTCCTACTCAACTGTTTTGTTCAAAGAAGCCTCGCTCAGCTAGATTAGCCGGGAGACTGAGCAGTGTCTCAGCTTTCCTAGCTACCCTTGCATTAATCACAAGTCCCTCAACTGTCACAACTCCTGTGTGACTTGTTAGGTACGGGAGCACCTTTTTATCTGTATTTATAGATTCTGATCAATTTTAGATGACTTTCTTTTTGCTAAGAAACACTTGAATAAGGCAAGAAGATCTAAATTCTCTTTCTACTACATATGTTGGTGCTGATTGCTCTTGGTGGGTTGGGTAGCTAATGCAGAGTGCTTCTACACCAGTCCCCCAATGGCTGGAGATATCCAACTACTTGATTAAAGAAATGAACCCCATTTAGCCTTGCTAAGCTTAAAGCTTTAAGAAAATACTTGTCTTAAAATAATTCACTTGAGTGTATGATTGCATAGAGTAGGAGAAACTGAGATGAGGGAATTAATTTGGGTTTTCCACGTGTTCCTGGTCTTTCCCTTTATCTCTCAACCCCACTGTATCCCATCTCCTTAGAAAGACTTGATGCTTCCTGAACACCACCAGCATGGGTAGGCTCTACAGGGCTGCTCAAAGCAGTGCCTTTACAGAGCTGAAGTTCAACAGAACTTCATGTTAATCTGAAGAAGGATAAGAAAAGAAAAAAAAAATCTGTGGAAAGGATATTTAAAATGTCATTGCTCTCACTTAATAATACCAAGATTTGACTTCTTCAGAAGCCATTCCCAGTCACATATTGGCTGTCATATGGCTAGTTGTGTTTGCTAACTGGTTGCTCTTTGAGGCAGAATCACGGGGAAAGAGTCCTTACTCAGCAAGACTGGATGCAGTATCTTAATTTCTAAGTCTGTTTTCAGATGCGCCTTTTAAATTTTTTCTATCTATAGCTGGGTGTTTTGATAGTCTGTTTTGTGCATTTTAAATTATGGTACACATGCCATCAAAAAGGCTAAAGATTAAAAGAGTTACTAACCTTCAGATAAGATTTGAAGAATATTTCTGTTCAAAGGCAATTTCAGTTTGTGTTTTCTGCAGAAAGAACGAGGCTGCACAAGTTTCAGTAGAAGTTTTCCTATTTTACACACAACTAAAGTAACACTTTTATGCCATTAGCGAAGTAGTCAGTCTGAAATATGATGTCAAAATGTCCCTTTGCATAAAGGAGATTGGCAGTGATACTCTGTTGCCTAGTGCTTTTTGAGCTGCAAATATTCCAAAGCTTTTAATTGCTTAATCATCTGAATATTTTGTGTCATTCAACATGCAAAATTCATTTTAAAATCTCTGAAAATAATTTGGACCGCACAGTGGTGCAGGATTTCTAATGTCACTTCTCCACTTCATTCCCAGTCTGCCAACATTTCTGGAAAGTCTAGTCTTTTAAACTTTGTCAGAGTATATGAATTTTATTCATTTTTTCACCCCACTGTGAAGGAGATTATCCCATTCTTTGAGAGCACTCTTCCTGCCTCACAACTGCCTGTTCTGTACTGAGGTATCAAAATGCATGAAAAGATGCTGTTCTGTTGACTTCAGCAGGGGAATTACCACTGTTAACAGTAGCTGACCCAAGGGAATTTAAACTAGCAATTTGGTTTGCATCTGGTCTTGCTCCAGCACCTCTGATCTTTCATGCTGCACTTGTGAGAGCAAGCACCAGAGCAATCACATCACTTTCCTTAAATATAGGCAAGTGTGACAAGATGACTCTCAACACCTTGGTTGCTCTACTCCAATAGAAGCCCTCCCATTATTTTTGGCACTTCATGCTGAAAAAAAACACAAAACGATGGTTATGCCTAGGAATGGATCCACAGAGTGGATGTGGGACATGTGCTGTGTGTACACAGCCAGTCTACCCCCAGAAGATGCTGCACCTGGCCTGTATGGGACAAAGCACGGGTCATCTTCTGAGGAAGATGCAAGAGCACAGGCACAGCCAGAACTATTTTCTACAACAGGTACTTCTCCACTGTAGGCAGCCCTTGGCAGGAAAATTAACTATGCAACTGTAGGAAATACAACGTGCTGTGGTCCTCCCTATAGGGAAGGGAAGCAGTGGAGATGGGTACCACGGGCAGGGACCCATCAGCCGTGTGAACCTCGCTTCATACGCAGGCAGGTTTCTGAATGCTTACACTGGAGTAAGGCTCGAGGGGGTGCCTGGTCCTGGGGACTTCCCTAAGAGCTGCTCATAGCTGTTGTTAGGAGCTGTTTGCATATAATCCTGAAGTAAATACATACCCTAGTAATCAGCCATAGATTTCTCTGCACTCCAGACTTAAGTGCTATTAATTATATCCCCTACTCAGCAGCCTCCAAGAACCATTAATTAGAGAGCAGGAGCTGATGGTTTGCTTGTCTGTGTGAAACTATTATGACCTGAGAGTGAAATATAAGCTTCAAAAGAAACATGTTTTATGAAGGTCACCTTGGCAAACATCATAACAATCTGTCAGAAGAGAATGCCGAACTCCAAATGTGTGTTTCAGTGTGACATTATGCTTTAAGTAGTTGGAAATAGCAAAGAGAAGATGAATTGGATCATAGGGTCTATGCTTTTTCACCCAAAATTCTTTTTTTTTCCTGCAGTGAGTACATATAAAGTAATCTTTTTGTCATTTCAATGGAATGGAAGGAAAGTTAATATCAACAGAAATTCCACAGACAAACATAATCTGGCCCTTGCTGGTATTTTTGAAGTGTAAAACATCCAGAGCCACCACCTCTGCAGCAGGGAGGTTTATGCACAGCAGTTAAATTATCTCTTCAAGGGAAGATGTAACCAGCCAGGAGAAGCACAGTGACTGTGTCTTGGCAGTAATGCCCACTCTAGACGGCTCAGAGGAAAAGGCTTTCCCCAGGTAAATGTGGTGTATTAATGTGCAGCATCCTCACCATCAAGGCTGATTATTCTTCTGGTTGAAGCGTAGCATTATTCTTATGAAAACAAAGATGCAATACAGTTAACTGTGGCTATAAGTGAAATGTCTTCCTCTTGCAGGAGGCTGGCATAAACATAATGTCACTCTCACAGCTGTTCCAGGGCTCTATTTTGAGGTTTTAAGTGCTACTGTGCTAAAAGTTATGTATCTCATTCTCCGGACTTCCATTTCCCCATAGGTGGCCATTTAATTCAGCTGTAAAGGGTACATGAATTCCATACTGCACTGCTTGGATCCTGTAATTATAGCTACAGTAGAAATGTCACGGCCAGAGACAGACAAGATTTTACTGCATAAAAGCAAAGCAGAAAATGTGTTACTGTTAGCAAAGGAAGCTGAAAGAGGGATGGATGTTCTCTTAACTTGCGCATCCAGAAGCCTGAATGCTTACCGAAGCTATCCATCAAATGCCAAGTATTTTCAGTATGATCGTGTCTTGATTCATCATAAGCTTTGTATGCATCGCATTGTCTGTGAGAAAAATGGGGAACGCCAAGCACAACTGATGGGCACTGTATTGCAGGACCTCAAATAAAAGACTCAAGGTACAGGATAGTGCTGAGCATCAAATAAAGATATGAACTGTGGTCAAGGACTTTTATGCCTAAACCTGTGCCCAAATGGTGCTAATCCCTTGCCCCCAAAGCTGTGAAAAGATGCATTCACTAAGCAGCCAGACCCTCCTTCGAACAGATTCATAAAACACGTGCCAAGTAATTTACAGGCTGCCATCAAGCTGTCTGTCAAGAGGGGCATACAATGGAAACTGTTGCTCAAAATGCCATCGAACGGGGAAACATATGTTTCAGTGAGAAAAGACAATCAAACAAAGAAGTGGGCGGCTGGGGAGTTGCAGCCACAACAGCAGCAAGGATCCAAGCCTTGCATGCAGCCCCGGTAAACAAGTTCGAGGACTGTGCCCCCGTCTAACAGTTGGGTAACAGCTTTGTGTTTAATAAGCTGAAATAATTTGCTGAGTAGTGAAGCCAGCTCTAAGTGTGGTCTGAAGTGAAGGTACAAAACTGAAGGTACCAAGCAAAAAGCCCACTACATGTTGAATTATTAGCGGAGATTTGTATCACGTTATCCTATTACTGTAGCTGCTGCATAATAGAACTGCCCAGAGAGACACTCATACCAGCAACTCGAACGTGACCTCGAAGCTTAAGAGCTGCCTTTGTGTGAGTTTCAGCATCTAGGCTGTGTAGGTGGAAAGGCATTAATAACTCCTCTGTTAAGTAGTTATTTGAAAAAGGAGAGGTGTGATGGACATTTGAAATATGTTGGACTGAGTGTATTTGAGGCTCTGTTGTTAGCCAGGATATCAGTCTGTACATGAAAGGACAGGAGTGCGGATGGGTAAACCCAAATGCCCAATTTGTGTTAGCTTCTGGGGCTGCTGGAAGCCTCCAGTTAATGCCGTAGTAACAACTGTGCTGTGAGTTTGTGCAGGGAATTAGGACGTGGTTTTTACAGCTGTAGTCAGCTGCAGTTGTCGGGCTCTCCAGGCTGTAGCAGGCTCTGCTGCAGGAACGCTCTCTCCAGGTCTGTCATGGCAAAGCTCTCTGTCCTACTAAAGCTCTTTTCCTAGGAAGGAACACCAAGAGATGTATGAAATTGGAGCAGACAGACATGGAAAGAGATTTCCAGCTCATTCTCTGGTGTCTGAGATAGGTCATGTTTTCAGAGCAATGGTCCCAAATCCCTGACATGTAATGCCTTGGCCTTGGGTAAAGTCCCACAATAGGGTCAGGATGGGTGAGGATATACAAGAGATGATGACTTTGAAAGAGCATTTGTAGGAGTTTATATGAGAGATCAGGCACCCCAAAGCCTCTTGCATGACATTATTAGGGCAAAATTGATTTGAAGAGTAAGAAGCTGTATTTGATGACACAAGATGCCCTTTCTAATCCTTTGTTCCTATGACTAGTGGTCAACAGAGCTGGGGACTGTGCTGCCTTACTCAGTGACAACAGAGTGGTGGCTTCACTTGATGTTTGTTTTTTGTAAAATGATCCTGACCTCCTTTGGTGGGTGCTTTGTGAGTTAGGAATGAAAAGCACAATGTGAAAGAAAGACATTAGTATTATTTGGAAGTGAACTTTATTGGAAAAAAAAAAAAAAAAAAGTATATAATAAATCAAACAAATGCTTCCCTTTCTTGCTCTGCTATGTGTTTTTAAAGTAGTTGTGTGCAACATTTTTTTCCTTTTCCTATACCACAGGCTATAATAGAAGATGAAATGTGCTGTGTGTGGATTTAACACTGTTTCCTTTTGCCTATCACTGTCAGTGTTTCCTGATGGAGCACACTAATGAGCACATAACTCGTTAGCAGTAAACAGCCTTATATTTTGTCTTACTAATACAGATCAAAGATACTATTATGTTTAACTGTTATGTTTGATATTTTTCAGGTAACAAAGTGTTTGAAAAGCATCCTGTGACATAAACTTCCCGGAAAGACCTCGTTCTTTTGTTCTCAGTGGCCCTGGAGCAGCAGCTGAACAATTTTATTATGTTCTACAAATAGGGGATTCTTCTATGAAAAATTTTATTGGACCTTTGGATATCATCAAAGTTGAATTTCAGCTAAGACAACTAACAGTACTGATTCAAAATACTGCTCTGAGTAGTAACTCATATTTTTCTGAATTGTATACTTGGGAACAAATCATTTAAAATTGTCCCTTGGTCTAAATTGAAATAAAGTGCTAGCAAAACTGGGTAGCTGCTGCATTTAGATACATTACAAAGCGTTTACTCCATGTTGTGCTTTTTCAGATTCAGTTATTGCGTGTGGGCTATCATATCAAAGAAAAATTAGATCTTCTAGCAATGTGACATTTCATAAAAAAAAAAAGTCTTTGTTATAGACTAGACAAGATAAACTTGGAGAGCTACCTTTTTGCCAGATAAGATAGTAGAACAAGAAATATGTACTGCTTCTTAAGATATTTCCTTTCTGTGTTGCTTCTCATGCATTGTCACAAAGTTTCTGGGCCTTACGGCAATAGAAAACACTTCTGCAGATCAATGAATATGTAAAGCTGCTAATGTGATAGTCATTGTGGTAGGGTTAGACCAGCATGAAAGTCCTGCTTGCAGCAACAGACAATGTGAGTGGGAGCCACCCATGTGGAATGCTCCCTCTGCAAGGAATGCTGTGTTCAGAGCCCCACAAAGGAAGGAGCCCACCATGGGTTAGCTGTTGATTGCTAACATAATAAAAAAGAAGTCAAACAACAGATGGAAGGGAAAAGAAATGAGTCTGCAAGACATGCATGAAATGAGCACCCATAATCCTGCTCTTGAATTGTGGGAAAGCTACAGCTGAAGTTTTCTGTGTCCCCTGAGCTAGGATGGAAAATCATGTGTGCCATGTCCTTCAATAAAAGTTCTTTAACAAGAGCCATGCAGAGGGGGGGCATGGGCTGCAGGGTTTACCTGAGCACTGGGGGACTTCAGGGTCAGGTCCAGCCCAGATTCACAGTGCTTTGCATGCCTGGCAGCACCATGTGTTCACTGTACTGAACATATAAAAATGTTTTAAAACAGTCTGACCTACAGGGTCATACCCTGACCTGAGAATTATGAAAATACATGATAGACAAACTGATATGTAGCATAATGTTCCCTATACGCTGCAGAGGAATTCACTCTGTTGGTTTGAAGTCTTTCTGCTCGTCAAATGCAAACAGAAACACTAGAGTAAAAACATTGATTTTTGATTCCAGATTTTACTTTGTTGCGGTTTAAATATTGCTACTGAAAAGCTGGTTTGTTTTCAAAGATTTGCCATGACGCAACGTGGCAACCTATATAATCCATTAGCCCTTTGAAAAATTGTAGCTATTGTAATGCAATTCCTTTTTGCAGGCAGAGTAAATGAAAAGGCCATTTTGATGGCGTCTGCACTTTTTGGACCATGAACAAGGGCTGAATAAACAGGAAATGAAGGTAAAAGGGTAAGAAGTGACAGAGAAGAAAAGGTGAGCAGACAGGCCAGGCAAAGACGCTGGCAAATGGGCCAACATGAGCAGTTGCCCTTTTTGCACTTTATTATTTAAAGTAGCTGTGATTTCATGTAGAAGGAAGACAAAGGTTGTACTAGCAGGGAAGTACTAAATGGAAAACCTGGGCATCCTTTACATTTGCAAGGTATTTCCAAACCTCAGTGGCTTCATGTTAAGTATGGAATATTCTATATTAATGCCACAGCTCATGATAGCAGGCGATGCGCCAACCATTTTGCATGGGGGCTGCTAAGCAGATGAGTGTTGAGCTGTATGGAGCATTTCATTTGTGTAAATGAGGAGGCCGTTATCACAGCACTAAAGGTCCTGTTTTTAAAAAAAGCCTCCTGTGGCATTATACACAAAACAACCTATTTATGCAGCATGAAAATATTTATGTGCTGCGCTCCAGCTTAAAAAGGGAATTTGCAATAGATGAGGGACATGAGAAAGGATTGCAGTGGGAGATAAGAGCTTAGAAAAGGCAGATCATGATGTACAAGACATCCTGCAGCAGTATGTAGAGTAACTCCCCTGCCCTTTTTTAAGACCTGAGCCTTGAGGATCAGCCTGGATCATTCATATCCTTCCTATAGGCTTAATTTCCTTCAGACAGAGCATTCTATGTAAAGATACAGTTACTGGAAGTGCAAGTGCACTGCATTGAAGGCATCGCTGGTCTTTGTAACAAACCCTTTTTTTTCCAACCTCAATTCCTTGCCCTTGTAGCAGGACCTGGGTCATCTCCAGCATGCAGTGTGCCCAGGGCTTGCCTTTGCACTGGGGGATGCTGCAAGACACTATGCTCCTCCACCAAAAGGAGAAAACGTGGCAGTGGCTCAGGTGAACGTGGTACAAGTGGAGTGGTCCCACTGGCATGGCTTAATATGGGGTAGAGATAACTGTGCTTTCGGTTATGTGGCTTGGGATTATGTTCTCTGTCCTTACACACAAGCAAGTTTCCCTGACTTTTTCCATTACTGAAAGTTCACTTAGTCGAAGTGAGCAGTTCCTCCAAGGGGATGCAGTGACTGTGCCTGCGTGCCTCTATTTTCATTAGCAAAACAGCTGTGTTTCAGCCACGTTGCTCTGTATTGACTTTTGTGGAACAGGCTGGGAGTAGGATGTGGCTCCAGCTGCCCTCTTATCCCTGCCTGCTTTAAAACAAAAATTGCAGGAGAGCTGTCTCAGGCACAGTTAGTCCTGCGGGCATGAGAATGGCTGACCCTGAGAGCGCTGATCCAATGGGGACACTGTCAGTCCGTGGACCCTGTTGCTGCCACAACAGGCAGCCCTGGTGAACAGTCCCATTTGGAAGCCACCTGGCAGCCATCTGCTCACACACGTAGACTTTGGGGCTGGGCAAGAACATTATGAATCGGCTCTGAAGGCTTTGGCACAGTGGCAGCCTGGGCCCATGTTGTGCTGTGCAAGGCTGCAGGCACCTGGCTTCTGCAAATCCGTTCTTGGTTTTCCAAGAATGCTCATCTAGACCACAATTATGGGTCTTTGTGCAGAAAAGCTACTTAGGTGGCTAATTGTCCTGGTTGCACGAAGGCAGCCAGGTATTATTCTACAGTGCTTTCAATGAAGGCTGTGAGTACAGCAGGAAGATGTATTTTTAATTACCTTTCAGCAATTCAGCATCACTTTCCCTCCAGGTGCATCAACATCCTTCCCAGCACCCCTGGTCCTCCACAGGGGTCAGTACTACCCCAGATAGCTCAAAAGCACTCAGAGGCTGATGGACCAAAGGGCTGGGGGTGTGCCATGTCAGCTTCTTGAAGTTTTTATATCGTACTTCAGAAATCAGTGTCATGCTGCTTGTAACTCCCTCTGAAACACACACATCCCTCCCACAAGTGCCAGGCTCTTATTTGATCCTGTGCTCAAATAGGAGCAATCAATTAATGTTGTAAAAGGTGAAGAAAATAGAAAAGGAAAGGAAAGGAGAGAGAAGAAAAGGAGAGAGAAAGAAAGAGTTAAAAAAAAAAAAAAAAAAGGAAAAGAAAAAAAAAGAGAGAGAGCGTTTGGTCTATGCATGAGCCCGAGTTGGCTGCAGACCCATGACAGTGCCTGAGATGGAGGCTTCTGTCTGGAATGGGGGAAGCTGAGGTTAGCTACTGGCTTGTGACAGCACCCTGAAAGGTGCCTGGGGACTCAGCACCCCCTGAAATAAAAACACCTTAATGCATGTAGGATCTGGGGGGTGATCTCACAACATCTGTGAAGCAATAAAAACCACAGTGCGCCACTAGCCATGAAGCTAAAGAAAAACTTTTAAGACCAAATACACATGCAGTGACAGCCATGAAAGTACCTAATTCATTTCTATCTCAGCTCTATGTGTCCTCCTATCCGCTCCCCATCTTTAGCTGTCACTGCAGTCAGTGGCTGCTGAAAAGCCTTGTCCGATTCCTGCATCTGGTTCTGAACGTACAGGCCAGCAGCGCTGTGGAGAAAGTGCTGCTGCTCATGTAAGCTGTCCTGTGTGTTGGCAGGGCTGTGGGTTTCAGAACAGAGTGATGTATTTCAGCTCTTGTGAAATTTCTGAATAATCAGCTCATCAAAAAATATCATGCAGAGTTCCCTTGTAGTCCTCTCCAACTTGCCACCTCTCCTGCCAATAGCTCTGTAGGGTGACCACAGCTTGGCATAGCCCATTAGCAGAGCTCTGTACAATCACTCATGAATAGAACTGGCTGGAAAATGCAATTTTTCTTCTTGGGGGAAAAATATGATTGGGGAGGGGAGGAAGGGGGGGAGAGCTTTCTGCCTTTGCGTTTCAGGATGAACATTTCCCCCATTGTTCTCTCCAGAACCCACTTCTGCTTCCCTGCCCGTTCTTCCCCATCTCAGTCTTTAGAAGATGACTCCAGGGAGATAAAAATAAAAATCCCACTTAAAGTGGCAAAGTTGTCGGCTGCTGTTTGACCTGCGGGAGCTTCTGTGGCCTCCCAGGTTGGAAGCCTCACTGCAGGACAGATACCAGCCTGCTGTGGCACATTGACAAGCCAGGGCTCCTGGGTGAGGTGTCCTGGGACCTGCATTTTTTGCTGCCGCTGTCCAGCCTCCTGTTTAGAGATTCTCCAAAATATCACCCTGAGCAGCCCCAAAAACTGCTGTTTGGACACCTGCGGGCTGGTGAAGGTGCCTGCTCACAGGAAGAAGGCAGGTCCCGGAAGGGCAAAGCCAACCAGGCACCTCCCTGCCTTCAGCTGCTCCTCAGCCCTGTCCCACCAGCACATATCCCTGTGCTCCCCACTCCTTGCCATCCTGCATTTCTCAGCCCCAAGTCAATGCTACTTTGGCTGGGCAGAGCTGACTGCCTCCCTGTGAACTCTGATGGCGCTCAGAGCCGAAATGTGGGGAGGCCAGGCTGGCTGTCTCTGTCTGTCAGCCATTTTAGGCCTGTGGTGGCTGCACTGGCTGTGCCACTCACTGTAACATAGGCCTATCAGTAGTGCAAGGCGCTTTGTGCACACACACGCACAGGGCACAACTGCACCTGTCAGTGAGTGGGAGCTGGGAGGCTCTGGCACCATTTGGGGGGCACTGCCTGGCACCCCCAGCTCTGCCCTGACCCAGCCAGTTTTCAGCTCTGTCCCTCCTCACTTGTGTCACCCTGTCCCTTTCTGTTCAGGCTTTTGTCATTTCTTTGTCACCATAGTGACAGGAAAAGAGTGATGATTGCTGGAGTAATTTCCCATATTAGCTAGTGCTGGCCTTTCAGCCTAAATCAGTGCTTCATTTTCCTCCGGCTCTGGCTAAGTCTCAACAAAATGGGGCTAAAAAGTGGTGGCAGGGGGCCTCAACGCAGGGCCTGCTGCCAGCACCCTGTGAGGAGAGCCTGGGCAGGGACTGGGCCTCTAGGTCCATGTCAGTGCAGAACTGTGCTCTCCTACTGTTAGTACTCATGCTGTGTGTCTTGGTGAGATCCAGGATATATATACGCACGCACACAAATGCATACTTAAAATTCAGGCTTCTTAAGTAAGCACATAATATGTTTAAATAACAAACAAGCCATTGAAAAGCAGAAAAAGGTCACAAAATGCGAAATGGAAGCTGTTCCTCCATTCTCTGCTTCAGCAATGCCTGTCCCCACCGCAGAGGAGGATTGATTAAGAAGAGTCAACCTTCATTTCAGGCGTACTGCCTTTTGTCCTCATATCACAACATTAACATTATCCCCACATAATTTTGTGTATTTAATTTTACAATAGACTGTGCCAGTGAGCACTGCCTGTAAATATTTGATCACTGCCGTTCCTCTAGGATTATCTTATCAAGAGTAAAGATATTAAAATAGAAATCTTGTCATGTTACTGCCTTTATACTTCCAGCCTGAGAGCTGATTGACAGAAAATGAACTGCCTGAACTAGCTCTAAAGT